ATTACTAAATGTTTGCTGGCATATTATTTATATGGTCTAACATCATTTGTATTCAATAATCACATAAATTGTCACATAAAGAGTTGAATCGGATCAAACCTATAATAGAAAATAAAATCCTCCTAACATCAGTTTTCTATACGCAAAATTTATACTTGAAAATTTATTTTATAGATTTTTGTGGATAAATCTAAGTAAAGTGATACGGAGCTAGACTGTTGGCTAGCTGGTCCTTGCGGCCCTTAGCAGCTTTGCTCGGTTCGCTTAGCACTAAAGCAAACCTAAAAACCACAAGGTTGGTAACCCAAGTTTGTACGAGAAAAGGGAAAACACACAAGAGAATTTGTCAAGAATGCCTATATTTTATTCACAATGAATCGAATATGTATAACGAGGGTAGGAAGGCCTCCTTTTATAATGAAATCTCCTTGCATACTATGGCTAAGACTAGTACTCCTAGTTAAACTAAGACTATAGTCCTACTAGGGTTGGGATTTGATGTTGGAATCCTAATTACACAGGGAAGGTGCTGCGTGGCTTGCTTATTCCCAAGGAAGGGACCAAGTCTCTGGCCCAGGCCGCTAGGTGCGGACCTGGCGCATCTTGCGAGGCTTGTCATGCCCATGTGTGCACCCTAGTAGGTGCTTGTCTCAGCCTCCTGCTCGTGACCGACCTGCTGTGTGTTGGTTGTGACCTCCTGGTTGGTTTGGTGCAAGCCAATATCGCCTTCATGGTCAATCTGTGACAAAAGAGTAGAAATTCTAATTTCTTCCAAAATTTATAACTTCATACTATTTTTTTTATCTCTATTAGTTTAAGTAAAATTTAGTTTATTTTAAAAATAAATATTTAATAAATATTTATTATTTTAAATTTAAATGATAAACCTTTATTTTAGTAATATCTAATCTAATTTCATTCACCAAAACATAAAACTGTTTAATGGACCCTAGAGATGTTGGCAGCATATTATGTATGTGATGAGAGTATAACTAAGCTTCCCCTTCTATTGGCCACCGAGTATTTGGCGTGGCGTGGGGTTCATAAATGAAGTGGCTGAAACGGATGGGAAACGGCAGCCCATGAATTCATTTAAGAAGGTCTGAGATCTATTTTTATTTTCCGACCACAAGCGCGAGGATGTAATGACATACGTAATATTCTATGTCAATAAAATATCAACTTATAAAATTTTAAAGAACGAAATTGTTTTAATAGAAGCTATAAAGAAAATATCTAAAGAATTTTGAAAGTTTTTGGGAGATGACAGACCCTATCGACTCTCTTTTTATTCATCCCTGCAAGCATCCAATATACATGTATATGTTGGTCACAAGAATAATTATCAAATCTCATAAAGATTATAAATTTTCATATAATTTACTTATTTTTATACTTTTTGATAATTTAGTTTAATTGTTTTTGGATAATTTAATTTTTTATTCAAAAAATTTTTGACATAATTTCTAAAAGATTAAGATCCTTTATCATAAAATTATGTATTCACATTTATTTATAAACGTATACCGAAAAAATGTATGTTCACCAAAACATCTAACCTAATTAAATCCTATATGATTCAAACGAATGCACTCTCACCACGTCTTCAGCTCGTGAATTTGAGTGCACTCGTGTATCATCATTAATATATCGCCCACTAATGCCACAAAGAAGACAAAACAATTAATTGCATGTGATACATTTAAATCTTAAAAAATATTTTTCATCGAATATTAAAATAAATAGTATTGCATTAATCAAACATTTTAGTTTATTTTTAACATATGCATCAAAATTTGAAAATGTTTGCATCCACTACATAAACATATGATCCTATTTTGAATTTCTGTTAATATGTCGTTAACTCTACATATTAAAAAGCTTTCAAATGTTTTGAAGGTCCTAAGAGCTGAACTCATGACCTTGTAAAGAAATTCTATGACATTCAAAAGTAGATTAATATTTTAGAATGCTACATGTTCAATTCTCAAAACCTTTAAAAATAGACTTTTATTAAATGATAATAACACATCGACAAAGTGGTCAAAATAGAATGATATTAAAAGTTTAAGGATAGATATAGAAGCTTTTAAAGCTTATAGACTAATTTAGAATCGGTCTCATAGTTTGGGGGACCTCTGATACAATTACCTCTAATAATTATTATAAATAGTAGCCATTAAAATTGCGTGCGTGGTACATGCACACATATATAATATCCACAAATGCAAATACTGCAATTGCATTGGATCACGAATCTAAAATTAATAGTAATTTTGAAGCAAATGAACAGCTCACACGATAAAAGCACTAATTAACATTAATTAAGGATCGATTAGCAGATAATCCACCATGGTCAAAGCATGGAGAAGAACACGTTTTCAACTCCTATTGGAAAACCATGCACAAGCAAACCCTAGATTTCGGACAAGTAATTACCCTATTAATCTTATTATAGTACAAATTATGTAAGCATATAAAAATAGTATCTTTTAAATTAAACTGTAAATCTCAATGAATGGTAATATATCAAATAATTCGTTATATTGACATTAGTGTCTCCAGGACCGAAAACAGGGAGACATACACCTGTGATTATAATTGTAGTTTATGTTAATCACTAGATTTAATTATAAAATAAGTGTCCAAATTATATTGTTTTCTTAAATAGATATTTAAAACTTTTTATATTCATTTAGATGTCTAACTTTACAAACGTTAGGTGTTCAGACTATAACCACCGTTAAAACATCCATTAAGTGACATGTCACTTTCTAGTAATTTTAATTTTTTATTAAAAAAAAATATAATTTTTATAAAAAGTTTAAAATTTTCAGAAATATTAAAAATCCAAACTTGGAAAACCTTGATTTTAGTCCTATACCCACACAGATCACCGCTTTGGCCGTCGTTACCGTCGATCAAGCTTACCCTTGAACACTCCTACGCCCAGCGGGTCATTTACCCCAAACATCTACCTGAAAAATCATACCCGGTGATGAAATCAATGGTAAACCTGAAGAAACAACGAACTTGATTCAACTCCCGCAGCTCCGATTGCGGTGTCTTGTCGTTGGGTGGAGGCGTGGTCGGGTATAGGTTTGATTGACGACAACGCAGCAAGGGCGGTAGTCGATGTGGGGCTAGAGATTAGATTTAGTGGTTTTCAAAGGTTTGGTTTTTTAAGATTTTTGAAAATTTTGAGTTTTTTAATAAATATTATTTTAAATTTTTTAAAGTTACCTTAATGTGACACATGTCTTTTAATAGCATAATTTAATGATTGTTACGGTCTAAACACCTAAAACGATAATATTTGTAACGTTTGACACTTGAACTAATATAAAAAAATTAAACACATTAAAAAAGGTATAATTCGAGCAATTATAGCCCAGCCCAGTCCCTATGGATTAGGGTTTAGAATTATATTCATTTGATCGTACGGATTTATTTTGGGAATGATTTGTTTAAAAAAGATTACAAAATAAAGTGAGAAAGTCAAGCAAGGAAGTCATTCATAATTAAAGTTATATTTATATCAAGGGAAATGATCACATCTACGTGTACGGTCATGACGTGGCGGGTAGATTACAAACCAAGCGTTCATGGTTTCAACACGTCGAGTTCTTCGGGTTCATACACGTCATTCATGCAAATGCAATATAAATTTATAATATTCTTAGAAAAAATCTCAAACAATCACGTCGAAATTCGTCATTGAAAATTTATGTTTATCTTCAATGCCTTTTTCCTGAACGTACTTTCACATATTCGAATTCGAAAAACAACACACAAATATATATTTCCCATGAGAATCCACTCATAGGCTGTTTTAGAAGCAAAATAGAAAGTGTCACGCGGAAAAGACTAAGGATGAAGAAGAAAAATTTTAATATAATTTCTTGAAAATCCGTAATTTTAAATTTATCTATAATAATGATTTTACCTTTTATTTATGTAAAACAATTCAATCACTTTGGACAAAAGTAACGTGTTTGATTTCAATTTCTTACAAAATTGAACCATTGACTGGTCAGAAAGCTTCCAAACTATATGCAGAAAGCAAACTTGAGGCATATTGGCACCAAAATCAAACCTGTTTCTATGCAAATAATAAATGTTACATGCATATAACACCTCTTATTATGACGTCCTCAAATCGAATGCTTCCACAAGCATTTATTATTTTAATAATAAGTAATTCAAATATTTCAAAAGGAAATTGATTGGATCGCCCTCATGTGGTGGGAAGAGAATTGGTCCAGCATGCCAGCTTCCATTGGTGAAGCGGTCATTTCAAGTAACAACTCAAATGATCCTTGGCTTCAGCTTAAATCAACTCCTGTGAAGCCAGAATCTTTGTGAGAAATGCAAAACAAAAGAAGAAGGTGGACACGTGGCTGTTGTACGTTGGTGACAGCTAATATAGTTCCAGAAAGCAAGGAGTGAGGCACTCTCCCTACACCAGGGAAAACGATATCACAATGGATTATCTTCCCTTAGTTGAGATTTATTATGGGAATAATATTTGAAAATGGAAGATTTGTCAATTCAATTCCCTGCTCAAATTCAAGATTTTGTCATACTACCTTTCCTTCTAACAAGTAGGGGTAGAAGCTCGTCATATATGCAAGTCTAACAGGGACTAAAAATTATCCGGTGATAGATAATTTTGATTTGGGGTTGAGATGAAATAATAAATTTTATAAGGGACATATATACAGAATTTTCATTTAACCTGGTCATATAAAAGTAAAAAGAACCAAGTTATGCTCATACCAAATTAAAATATAGGGGCAAAATACCAAAGTTAAGTATAATGAAAGGATCAAATTCATGATTAGACCTTTTTATAAAAGAGGACACGTTGCCATAGTAATAAACAGAGGACGGTACCCAATTTTTGACTTTTGGCCTGTGGCTTATTTATACAAGTACGTCCCCATACGGACCCTAAGTCCCTTGGCTGCGCATCATTTCCTCTTCATTTGTCCTACAAAGCTAATCAAACCAGTTAAAACTGAGTCTTATACCATGGGAAGAACACCTTGCTGTGAGAAAAATGGGCTCAAAAAAGGTCCATGGACGCCTGAAGAAGATCAGAAACTGATTGATTACATTCAGAAACACGGCTATGGCAATTGGAGAACACTGCCAAAGAATGCTGGTAAGCTCTCTCTCTCTCTATAATTCGTGGGTGTTTTCGTTGTTGCTTAAAGGAGTAAAGGGCATTTTATATTAATTTTTAAAATTCAGGGCTTCAAAGGTGTGGAAAGAGCTGTCGTCTTCGATGGACTAATTACTTAAGGCCAGATATCAAAAGAGGCAGATTCTCTTTCGAGGAGGAAGAGACAATAATTCAGCTCCACAGTGTGCTGGGAAATAAGTAAGTTTATGTTTTCACCATTCGTGGTTTCTGTTTAGATTTTATTTAGAAAACATATGTGTTTTTGTATATACGTAGGTGGTCTGTCATAGCTGCTCGGTTGCCCGGAAGGACAGACAACGAGATAAAGAACTACTGGAACACACACATTCGGAAGAGACTCCTCCGAATGGGGATCGATCCAGTGACGCATAGTCCGCGGCTCGATCTTCTCGACCTTTCCTCGATCTTAAGTTCGTCTCGGATGAACATGTCGAGGTTAATCGGAGCTCAATCCCTTATTAACCCTGAGATTCTAAGGCTCGCCAGTTCTCTCATGTCATCTCAAAGCCAAAACCAAAACCAAAATCCAGATTTTGTTTATCAAGATATTGAAGAAAATCAAATCCAAAACCAATATAATCCGCCATTGATGCAAGTCCAAGGGATCCCAGAAGCTTGCACCTCGTTGAATATACCTCCTTGTAGTAGCATTCCATTTGATAACAACGAAGCACCGTTGATGATGAACCCTAACCTGAACCAATTCCCACCAAACGCCGATTTCAGTGAGTGGCAGCAAGGCAATGCCATGGTTCAAGATTTGACTGAAGATTACGTGCCGTTTCCGGCAAACTATAACTGTTACGGCTCCGACCTGAGCTTCGGCTTTGCGTCGGTTCTATCAACGCCTTCTTCCAGTCCGACGTACATCAACAGTAGCAGCACCGAGGACGAAAGAGAAAGCTATAGCAGTAACAATATTTACAAGTTCGATCAAATTCCGGATATTTTAGATGTTAATGAATTCTTGTAATTTAGCAAAATGAACAATCAAAACTCACAAAAGAAGGGTTTTTTTTTTTTTTGCATTCAGTGCGGAGTTGTGACTTGTTGTTGATAATTAATTTGCTGCAATCTTCTTTAAAATTTCTGTATTAGGAAGCAAGATCCTACCTCTTTATCACTTCTTTTAGTATGAAATCAATCTTTTCAATTTTTATTAGTGAAAATCGCATCAGTGACCAAAAATACCTTATAATATACGATTTTAACCAATTTTTTTTGGATTTGCCAAAATGACCAATAAAATCGCAACGCGATATCAAAATCGCAACGCGATTTAGAAAATCGCAACGTTAAAAAGAAAATCGCAACGGTCAAAAGAAAATCGCAACGCGAGCTTCCAAGTTCGCAACGCGATTTAGAAGAAAATCGCAATGCGATTGATAGAATCGCAATGCGATTTATAGAATCGCAATGCGATTGAGAGAGTCGCAACGCGATTTAGAAGAAAATCGCAATGCGACTGAGAGAATCGCAATGCGATTTATAGAATCGCAATGCGATTTAGAAAATCGCAACGGTCAAAAGAATAGTTAAAAAAATTTTGTTTCTTAAGAATTTTCTCTAAAAAGATAGTATCCGCGCGGACGTGTCGAAGACACGTATTACCACGACCACGACCACGACCACGACCACGACCACGACCACGACCCCGACCCGACCCGACCCGACCCGACCCGACCCGAGACGAGACGGCGGCGGCACGCGAGAGTCCCCCTTGTCCTCTTTCACTCAACAAGGAAGTGCAAAATACAAGCCTTAAATACCATTCCCAATAGTATTTCCAATACTATGTGGGATTGAGCATTACCAACACTTGTTCCAAATATCATTATTCTTCATAAGTTATCATCCATTACAATATGAATTAGTCGTGTTAATGAACCAATATACCTCATTAATATATGGTATTGTTGAACAAAAGAATGATGATGATGATCTTATTAAAGACCATCTAATACGAAAGAATCCAATGCATAACCGATACCTTATTGTGAAACTAATTCACATAGAGGTTGTACATGAAAAAAAAATCTTTTACTTTTATAGTAATATCTATCTCAATAATTTTAATATAAAAAATATTTTTATTTAATAATAGAATTATTTCATGTATTTATCAAGTTATAATTTTAAATACTTATTAAAATGAATTAATTTATTATCGATAATTCATATTGTAATGGATGATAACTTATGAAGAATAATGATATTGGGAACAAGTGTTGGTAATGCTCAATCCCACATAGTATTGGAAACACTATTGGGAATTATATTTAAGGCTTGTATTTTGCACTTCCTTGTTGAGTGAAAGAGGACAAGGGGGACTCTCGCGCGCCGCCGCCGCCGTCTCGTCTCGGGTCGTGGTCGTGGTCGTGGTCGTGGTCGTGGTAATACGTGTTTTCGACACGTCCGCGCGGATACTATCTTTTTAGAGAAAATTCTTAAGAAACAAAATTTTTTTAACTATTCTTTTTAACGTTGCGATTTTCTAAATCGCGTTGCGATTCTCTCAATCGCATTGCGATTCTCTCAGTCGCATTGCGATTTTCTTCTAAATCGCGTTGCGACTCTCTCAATCGCATTGCGATTCTATCAATCGCATTGCGATTTTCTTCTAAATCGCGTTGCGAACTTGGAAGCTCGCGTTGCGATTTTCTTTTGACCGTTGCGATTTTCTTTTTAACGTTGCGATTTTCTAAATCGCGTTGCGATTTTGATATCGCGTTGCGATTTTATTGGTCATTTTGGCAAATCCAAAAAAAGTTGATTAAAATCGTATATTATAAGGTATTTTTGGTCACTGAGGCGATTTTCTCTTTTTATTACATTGAAAAGTTTCCATTATTGATGTGTCCCCACAATTATTTTTTGTTGTCATCATTAATTTCCATATGTATATTATCATATCTCACTTTTTATTTTTTGAATTAATCATTGATATCTAATATATTAATCGATTAATTCAGATTAGATACTGTATATGCGAGAGTGATCTTCCCAATTCAATTTACTCTATTCGCAAACGCTAGGATTCGATTGCTTAAGAGACATAATATCTCATATTAATCAACTTATCATATATATATATATATATATTCAAACCATGTCAAGTATAAAGACAGAAACTAAAAAGAAGAATAATGAAACAAATCATACATAAGGATGATGGTGTTGTCTTTGTTCACAAGAGTTTTGGCACTTATAATAAATGAAACCTAACGTCTTTTCCCTTCTTCCCTAATATGCTGCCATTTTTGCCTATAAGTGGCGGATCCAGAAATTTAAAAATAGAGGTTTAAAATTTTAATTTTTTTAAATTAATAGGTATGCAAAAATTGTAATTTTTTAATACATTAAACTAAATTTAATCACTTTTCTAAAATAATGAGATATACTTAACCCCGTTTAGTGCATCCGCCAATGCCTATAAATATAAATGTTTTACTTTGAAATCCGTAAATTAGATTATTATATTAATTGGTTTAGTCTTATAAAACACTAACACTTTAGATAAAGTCAAAAGTTTAAATTTGATATTATAAAAAAAATAAACAGAATTAAAAAAATCAATTTTATAATATTTAATTTGAATTAAACATCAATTAATTATTAGAAAAATATTGATAGTATATATGATAGGAGATATAAGACTTTTGGTTTCAAAGATACCAACAGAGAGTTCAAATATCGGCGGACATTCCGGCCATGGCGACGTCGGAGGTTGTGAATCAGACACGTGTAAGGGCCACCTGTTAGGGCAAGTCTTTTTCAGGTAATGTGATAAAAGTAGGTAATTTGCATGGGCGATTATGGGTAATGGGCGGGGTTTGACCTAAATAAATAAAATATGAAAAGAAGAAGGGCACGGGTCGACCGATCGCGTAAGGGCTCGAGTGACGGACCACCAATTGAAAAACATGGCGGATCTCTTGTTGTGTCCTTTATTATCCGTCTTAAACAAAGAACCTAATCTGTTTCATAATGTCACCATTTGAGGACACGTGGACTCAATCATGCATGGGGTTTTGACTTTTTTTTTGAGCCCTTTAAAGCCTTACCGGTTGACCGGGTAACAACAGTGACAAGTCTTCTGTCCCCATATTTTGAGAGCAACCCTAGCTTTGACTTTATAGTCACTATATAATTACTTACTACTTTGTCTTCATGCAAAAAGGAAAAAAACACTTGATCATTCTTAATCAATAATATTTTATGCTAATCTATTATTAACACATTTTGCAAAAGAAATGCAAACTTGTTAGCATATGTGTTGGCACCGCGAAAAGTTGCAAATTTAAAAATTATAAATTTAAGATGTAAAGTTATAAAATTTTAAGAGTATAAAATTAGACATCATCAATAAGAATACATATAAAATATTAAATTATATGAGGATTTAAAATTTTAAAAGATACGACTACAACCAAACACTACCTTGATCCACCCCTAACTTCCTTAATATTTCTGACCTAATTACTTTTTTAAGACTCTGTTCATTTTAAAATTAATAATTGAACATCTGTCATAATTTAATCACGACTTCATCTATATTAAAAGACAATTTCAACATATATGATCATGACATGGGTCCGTACATCGTGGCCTAGATCAAGTGCGACAATAAAACAAAAGATCCATGTTTGGATTTCAATTTTAATGGGACATTAGGTTAAAACCTAATATACTTGGTAAAGAAGTTCACCTAGTATATGTCGTTCTTCATCATATACGGCTCTTGGGTAAGATGAAAAACCAGCACTCCAGTTTTGAACATATGTTTTTGTTTCTTGATTTGTTTTGCCACACGAAACTCGTGTACGTACGGACCGACGTCTCATCATATATTGCATGAAACGAGCTCCTTTAGTTCGGCTTTGTAATTACATTGATTCCTACATGTGTAGAAACAAGACAACATGGATATGGTATCCTTTCACTTTCGTCTCTTCATATGTCGGCAACAATGGATCAAGCTGTCTTTCGACTATGAATAGCCGACAAGCTTCGTTTAGACTTTATAATTTGAATATTTTGAAGAAAAAAAAATTGCAGACCAAGAAAATTTTGAAAACATTTCGTTTTCATTTTAAAAGATAAAGACATGGAAAAGGTTTAGAAAACCATTTTAATAAATACTTTATAATAAATAATTACAAAGTTGTAGGATAATAATTTGTACAAACGCACATTTTAATTAGCTAATTGATATGATTAAATTAGTTGAAAATTGTAGAAGAAACTACGTGAATTACAATGAATGATCGGGATCAATAATAAAAAAAAGTAATTATATTTAATTTAAAAATTTTAATTTTTATTACTTAAACATAATTAGAAGTTGTACGAGATGCTAACTTTTATATATTTATAATCGCCATTTATAAGCAGATCAACTTCCCTATATTCGAAGCTTCTTTCCCGTTTACCGGTTCTCTATGTCAAACCCCATGTAAGCTTAACGTAAATTATACGTCAAAATTTGGTAAATTATTTTACAGGTCAAATTGTATTATAAGTCCCTATCCTATGAACAAATAGTGGATTTAGTCACTCTATCTCTTGTCTTCCGCACTTGCACTCGTGTGATACATGTACAACCATTGTGGAAAACATTAAATGAGATAATTAGGGCTTAAACGTGTCAACTAATGTAGAAAAATTGAATTGATAGAGGCAAGGTTAAGGCTCCCTCTTTGACAATGAGCCGTCCAGTGCCTCAGAAAACGACACCCTCTCCCGTTGATCGACCGCCCAAAGAAACTTTGTTCCTTCAAACATTTTGAAAAAACATGACTTTTACACTCGAAAAGTGGGTTCATGCCTTAATATGACTTTGGGGTCTCATTCATGTGTGTGTGTTCTTTAATAATTGTAAGGAAAATGCGGAGAATTTTGGGTTTTGAGAACCATAAGTCTTGGTGATAATGATATGTTCTAATTTGGAATATGGAATGAAGAAAATCGTAGACAAAAGTTGTCAACTTTAATGATATA